CTTTTTTTGCCCGGAAGGAATTCGCTCATTTCGTTTTCTGCACGAAAATTGTAAAAGAGAAGTTCAACAGCAGCACAGGTTATAAGGAATGCACAACTGATCAAGTGTAATAATCTCATGAAGAGACAAACGACCAGAGTTGGTTTGCCCCCAGAATAAGAGGGATAAAGGATGTGAAATTTCGACTCCAAAGTCCTAGATCTCTCCCTCCAAATCTGAGAAATTAGAAATTATAAGTTTTTGCAAGACTCTATCGAGATCTTACAAGAAAACACTCGTGACGAATATTTCCATGGTATGTTTTGACTTAAATAACACATGAAATCCACATCTTTTCATGATCTGTTCTTCATAGGTCCATACACCTTCACTCGCCCCCAAATACGCGATTTGATTCTTCTCTACACACACGCTTCCAAAAACCCCGCACGCTTTCACACGTGAAAGCATCTCTCAGATAAACCTACTTTTAAGAAATGAAACTGAGAAAGTAAAGCAAACGATCTTTTTCTTTTTTTGCTTTTTTGAAAAAATACAAAACAGGTCAAGTTTATGTATTTATACATGTATGAATCATACATATATACGTATGTATGTATATATGTAGGTAAGTATATATGTATGCGTATATGTATATATATATGTATGTATACATGTATGTATGTGTATATGTATGTGTATATATGTATGTGTATATATATGCAGGTATGTATGTATGTATGTATGTACGAATGCATGCATGTATGAATTGTGTGTATGCATGTGTATATGTATGTATTTTGTGTATGCATGCATATATGTATGTTATTTGAATGAATTTACATATGTGTGTGTGTTTGTGTACGTAAACAAACATATAAATATATATTTCTCTAATACCCGAGATATTTATTTGTCCTTCAATAATTTCCCAAAACAATTTCGTCAAAAAAAAGCTTGGGTACGGTAATAAAGGGACGTCGAATTTTTAATTCGTATGCAAAAAGTACTTTGCTTGCTTACGTCATAAAAGAAGCAACTGCCATGCGTGTAAAAAAACGATAGCTGCAAAAAAAAGCCTAGAACTGACCAAAACAGCTTCCATTTCGGCTTCAAGTTTATAAATATTCCGGATGCATAAATCGATCACCGATGCCAGTAATTTTCCGGATCGATGAAATGGCTCATGATGTCTGATATCTTGCGCCTCTCGCGGTATGTGGAAAACTTGCCGTAACTCTGGACATATTTCAAATATCCTCTACAAATGATAAATATGAACAGGAATCAATTGCATTTTAGTGCATTTTAGAGGTGAGAGTTGATAGAATTACATAAGTAAAAGTTGCCAAACAAGCATGATACTTCATTTTATTTCAGACGGCACTAGCGGTCTAGAGGAATATAAAGCTGAGAAACCTCACATCAAACGAGTTTTTGATAACATGCCATATCTCTTGTTATTTTGCAAGCGAAACTGGAAGGTTAGCTAGAGCTAGCTGCTTTCTCTAGATCATATTGGGAACAACCCTCGCGTGATAAAAATGAAGTGCTGTAGGAGCTCAAAACAAAAAGTAAGGAAGTGGGTCTGAAAATCAGTGCAATAGAGGCGAAATTGATGGAGAGTGCCGGCATACCCGTAAACAGACAGTGTGAGACTGCAAGTCTGCTTCGTACAGGAAGCATGCCTTGCAAATTTTACCATTACAAAGTATGAAACTGGGGCTTGAGAGTATCTTATTGCAACTGGCTATACAACTAAATTTGTCAAATGTAAAACGCCCCGATAATTAAAAATCGGTTCTTGCAGCAAAACCGTGAAAAAGCATGAAGGCTTGATCTTAGCATCATTTTTAGGTAGAACCACATATTTTTTAAGCAAAAAGATTATAAAAAGGAGTGAAATCTGTTGATTGAGAACAAACAAAACTTACAAAACCAGCGGGTTAGCGGCAATCTGACTATTCTTTTTTGGCGCAAACCCTACTTTCTCGTGGAAAAGGGAGCTGCCGAGAAAAACAAGTACAAAACTCAATTCCCAAAAAAAAAGTCTCAGTTCTCATGGTCGTGGTCCTCTACCACTTCTCTTCCTCATTTACCTCCTCCTTCGTCCCTTCCCATCCTCTACCTCGATATCCGGGAGAGGAGCCTAGATAAGTGATACTTGATATCCTGAATAGTTTTCTACATTTTTGCAAGCGCAACGCACTGACACTCTCTATCTACCGGTTGTCAGCAAAAAACAGTCGTTAAGCAATCAACTAACTATAACGAATGAAAAAAGTACCGCATATATATTGACGCCAACTTTTGAGTAATCATTGTCGTAATTCTCGAGCACTGTTCGCCAACAGTCAGTTATGGCAGCCCGGGTACTGTTTTTCAGGATGCTTACTTTCGGACCCATCAGACTCAGCCCAGTTGTCCTAAAAAATGAGAGACAGGAGGTATCGTGTTTTCTAATGATTGGCATTAATTTTTGATATCTCATTTCCCAAAGCACTTTAAAAAAAAAAAAAACCTTGTGTGCTTAAAATTTTGACAAGAAGATTTATCAATGGTGGATTAGCATTCTTGCACATGAAGCAATTACGAAATATCTTGTTAAAAAATGAATATTTTTGAAGCAGCTGTTGCGCGGTTATTTTATATTTGTAGTTTGTCATCAAGTATTTTGCGCATAAATGACCACAGATCGGCAATAATTAGCCAGCGCACCGACTGCCGGTGCGAAGATGCGTTTTTTGCATAGTTCCCCGCAGGCTTGTTGCTAACAGCAGCGGTTTTTGCTGCAGATGTCTCTAGCTAAACGAATTAAGACTGGCCGCCAGGACTGTTAGAAAAACTCCCTTAAAATTTCAACTTTCCAACTTTCGTGGCCTCCGAATTAGCAACTTACCCCGCGAAAAAAATTCCACGGGTCCGTACGTGGGAACCACGCATACTCGAGAGGGAAGGCGGGAGCTGACTTTGAGCTCATTGATACCTATATGGATTGAGGACGTCTCACTAAAATTTCAGCTTTTTAGCTTTTCTCTGTTTCCGAATTAACAGCTTCCCTACCAAAAACTTTGGCGGGCCCGCACGTAGGATCACGCGGGTAAGGGCGTCCATTTTGGGGATTGGGACCCGTGCGTGCACGTAGATTAAATTTCTAAACTTTCAGCCCTGTAGCTTTTATAGGCCTTGAGATGGAAAATCGGTACAGGCACACACACAGACAACCCTTCGTCAGTATGCTTTTTCTGTAATGCATAGATGCAAAAAGCGCATAAAAACTTGATAAATGCGAAGACTGTTTGGGCAATCATTGTAGGTATCCCATGTTAGAAAATTTACTGGAATGCTCTCATACCCGGGCTTGGCGATGTCAACTTTTCGAAATATTACTGAAGTAAATTTGCTAAATATGAAACGCAAAAAAGAATTCTGTTAGACCAAATAATGCAAGCTATCAGAAACAAAAAAAAAAATTATTTTTTAAATTTCTCAGTTTCAAATTTTTGACTTAGTAATAATTCTACATTGTTTTTATCATGGATAATTTGTTACTTTTGACGCTCAGCTGCTTTACTGCTTCGTGGTTTTTCGACCGATACAGCTCTCGAACTGTTTTTCTTCTTAAAGCTTAACTTTGTACTGCTTGTTCCGGGGGTCCGTATCGGTTCTGTTGAGTGCTGAAAATTTTAGTACCATTAGTCATTAATATCAGAAATCTTTTCCTCCCCTAATAAAAAATGGTTGTCGGATAAACTACAGCTGACTTCTCCTTTTGAGGATTGCTTACAAGCAGACTGATGACGATATTTCAAAGGGCGGATGATACTTTTTCGGCACTTTTTAAAAGAGATTAACAAAATTTTCTGTATTTTTCAATATTTTGCTTCAGCTATGGTTTGTTCTGATAATAATAAATTTTTTGGTACTCCATGTACAAACCAAAAAATATACATAAAATCTGCATTCCAACCTGATCGTCCAAAAAATTGCCACAGTTTCGTCCTTCTCAAAAAAAAAGCCTCACTTACTGACGCTTTAGTTCTGAAGAAGGGAGACAAAAAGTTGTTTATCACTTTTCCGCCTTTCCGCAGTTTTTTTTGTACTTTCAAATACATTTGTGTTGTACTCTCGGGATTTCAGCTGTACCTATTGCGGGCACCGATTTCTTCGTGGATATTTTTTCCGGTCATTAAGCTTTTAGGAACGAAATGAAATGAGCAAGTGGGAGTTTTAGTTTCAAACTGAAATACACATGAAGGTAGGCAACGATTTTTTGTATTTTTCTTTTAAAAAATAATTTTTCACGCGTCACTGAAGATATTTGAATATTCTGCATTTTCACTTTCTAAAATCACTTCGTGCCACAGTGAAATAGGTTGTAATTTTATTAACACTGTTGCGTACGCGCTG